GCGTGGATTAGGTGGTGTGTGATAGACCGTATAAACGCACCCTTAAGTCTCCCTTGTGCGTGGCTTCCATAGCCAGTTATACATAAATATGTGGATTAGCTGGTCTCTTACTAGATGTGGAACACCTGAATTTGCTGCCATCTGTTTTGCTCCAAATTTTGATTTTAAAATGCCTAATGTTTTTATGTAGGCTGTAGAGTTGTTCACCTTTATCATTCACATTCCTTTTAATACATAACCTGCATGTGGTTTTGATGATGAAGAAGTTGCTCCATGGCTGACTCATATTTAGACGGTAGCACCAACCGATCAAAGAGACAGAGCATACAGAATTAGAACAGCCAGCAATTAGAACAAGCAGATAAATGTTCCACAAGATTTTAAGTGAGGATCTTAACACAAATAGAAATCAGAAATAAAGCAGAAAGATTATGACTGTGAAATTTTATAAAGGTGCAAGGTATAGAGCATGCTGTGCTGATGAAAGAATGATGCTGTGTGTTTCAAAGCTCAGAATAAAATAAACCAACTCTTTTAGAGGAAACGTATTGCCCACAAAATTTGATCAGGAATAGTATGGTATAAGCATGATACATCCAGATCAGGATAACAACACTGACTGGAACATATTTCTAGTATTAAAGTAATAAAAAGTTGTGTTTCTTCTATTTGTTCTCTCTGGTGGTTATAAATGGCATTATTTGTATGTCAATGTCTAACTACTGCTAGAACTAGAGAGTACTGGGTATTGAGTAGATGGCAAGTTGTGTGGTCCGGCAAAGCATGTTATGGGCTGGTTCTGTACTTAGTTGTTTGTAAGTTGAAAGTCACTTGAAGGGACACAGACACTCCACTACCTATGTGACGACTTTTAACCATGCTTATGAAGAGAGCCTCTGATTTAGGGTACAGAAGGTAGAAGACATAATTAGGAAGTATTTTGATGTGGATTTTAAGAGCTTATTTGTGGTTTTTAAAGATTTTTTGAATAAATGAGTAGTTGGAGGAGCTTTGGATCTGGTTTTATGTACTTTGGTTCCTAGTTGCTTCCAACAGTTGGTAGGCTCAAAAAGCGTGTCTGCCTGCTTTTATTCTACCAAATTCCGTCAGGTTTGCATTACTTTATGTATCAGCTAGTCTCTATATGATGTAAAGAAGAACTATATGTTATATTTTGTTGTATTTAAAAAAAAAAGAGAAAAGTATTCTTGTCTATTTCCCAAAACCCCATTTTTTTCCTATCTTGTAAATGTGAAGACATAAGCCATTGATGCATTTAGGTAATCTGTCTTCAGGGATATATCCTTTTCATACAAGTTTAGAATGATGGAATGCATTGTAAAATCCAAATGGTGTTAACTTTTATGCTCATCACAGGGAAAAAATAGAAAAGAGTAGAATAGAATACAATATTTCAGTTAGAAGGGTCCTAAAACGATCATCTTGTCCCGCTTCCTGTCCAGTTCAGGGCCAACCAAACACATGTTGTTAAGGGCATGGTCCAAATGCTTCTTATACTCTGACAAACTTGGGGTATCCACCTCCTCTAGAAAGCCTGTTCCACTGTTTGACCACCCTCTCAGTAAAGAAATGCTTCCTAATGTCCAGTCTAAGCCTCCCCTCATGCAGCTTTGAACCATTCCCCCATATCCTGTCCCTGCATACCAGGGAGAAGAGCTTAGCACCTCCCTCTCCATGTTCAGTTCTCAGGAAGCTCTAGAGAGCAGTGAGGTTGCCCCTCAGGCTCGTTTTGTCCAAACCAGATAAGCCCGAAGTCCTCAGTCCCTTCTCACAGGACATTGCCTCCAGCTCTTTCACCAGCTTTGTTACCCTCCTCTGGACACATCCTTGTTAAATTTTGGGGCCCAGAACAGCACACAGTGCTCAAAGTGAGGCCACACCAACACTGTTACAGCAGGACAGTCACCTCTGTTGACCAGCTGGTGATGCTGAGTTTGATGCACCCCAGGAGGGGGTTTGCCCTCTGGGCTGCCCGGGCACACTGCTGACTCCTACTGAGTCTGTTGCTGACCAGCACCTCCAGATCCCTTCCTGCAGGCTGCTCTCCAGTCAATCCTCTACCAGTTTATATTTGTGCCAAGCATTACTCCATCCCAAGTGCAGAATACAGCATTCAGACTTGTTAAGTTTTATGTCATTAATCATTGCCCAGTGCTCCAATCTATCTAGATCCCTCTGCAAGGCTTTTGTCCAAACAGCATCTCCCACTTTTAGCTAATAGTGCATTCAACTCCTGCATCCATATCATTGATAAAAATACTAAACAGAGCTGGCCCTAGAATTGAGCCCTGAGGTACATCACTGGTGACAGGTTGCCAGCCAGATGTAGCCCCATTCACTATAACCCTTTGAGCGCTGTCCCTCGGCCTCCAGCTCGCTGTGTACCTCCTCATCTTAGAGAAGGATGCTATGAGGGACAGTATCAAAAGCCTGTGTATTTTGATGTTTAAATACTTTCTTTTGTAACACTTAGTCATGCTAGAGTGTTCCTTTGCTGATGGTCCCCAGATGATGCATCACGTTGAAGTACTCTAGAACTCTCTTCTGGTTTGCTAGATTCTCACTCCATAGATTCTTTCTCAGCCTCTTGATTCCGGTGTTCTGTTAGCCTCTCCTTTTGAAAGTTAGATTTTGCCATGTGGCTACAGAAGCCCTTTTCCGTCTAGAGATGATCCAAAGATCTCTGTGTGGTTTAAGCACTAATTTTTCAAGAATTAAATCTAGGGATTTACCGCCTTTGGAACACAACATGTTGAAGAAAGATCTTGGCAGTGTCCTCTAGGCACAATTTCTTGTAATACTTGTTTCTAGACGAAAGTGGGAAGTGAGTTGTATGCCTGTGTGGCTAGACATTTGTCAGTGCTCAGGATAATTTTTTGTTGCATGTTCAGGATTAACTGCATGGAAGTATTTGGAGATTCAGGACATTTTATTGTTTCTGAACTTGGGTGGATTTGGCAAAGCTCTGGCAGAAAGTGTTACACTCAGCATGTCTAAACCATTTGTGTTATGGTGTTTGTTAATAGCCAGAGTATAAATTGCCTGTGGTATGAGTCTGCAGATGATCACAGTTTTAGTGATTCATCATGGAATTATTAGCTCATGTAATGAGAATTGTCTCTTTCTGCAAATATCCTTTTGACCATGCTTCAGTTTATCTTACAGTTGATTTAAAGTCCCTTCTTGCTTGACTCAAGAACTGGTATATGGTTTTACGCCCATGGCATAATACCAGGAAAAGCATCTTATTTGAGCTGTGTATAACAGTTCTCCTGACATAGAGTCCTTTGAAGCAGCATAGCAGTCAGCATAAAGTAGCACAAATAAAGGCTTTGAGCAGTGTGCTGCTGAATAGAAACACTGAAAGATCTCAGAGATAAATGGCAGGCAAGGAATGCACAATGTGCAGCAGAGTCGATAACTGCTTGGCTTGGAGCTAACGCCGCCATCAGTTTCATCCTCTTGCATAGGACAAGGTTTATAAAAGTCACTGAGACTCTTTGAGTATAACAACACATGTACTTACTTGGAGAGCAGTGCCAGTTTGAGCAGGTCCTGCTCTGCTCTGTCCTTGTTGACTATCATAGAATCATAGAATCAGCTGGGTTGGAAAAAGACCACTGAGATCATCAAGTCCAACCCTTGATCCAAAACTACTGTGCTTACTAGACCATGGCACTAAGTGCCATGAATTAAATCTGGGAACTGATTTGTTGGAAAAATAATTTGACAGACAAGTTTGTTTTTAACTAGGGTCTGCTACAGTTGTTCAGTGGAGGGACTGACACACAGTGGGAATTACTGCTGAAGGTTGCAGTGAAAGGAGGAACTGGAGCTTGGCACTGCTGTTTAAATAAATGTATGTGTAACTGTGCCCTTGGGCTCCACACCCAGGTTTTATGACACTGGATAAAACCTGGAGTAGGGAAGCAGTTCTGTTTGTTAAATAATTAAAACTGCTCAAGTGCAGATAATCTTGCTGACTAATATTTTTTTCTTTCTGTTGAGTCATTCTGTTGGTTTGGAGTGATCACGAGTGGGTTTTTTGTTTCTTATGGGCTTTTGGTGGTGGTGGTTTTTTGGAGGGAGGTGTGGATGTGTACCAATGCTTTTAAAACTGAAACTGGAAGGAGTTGCTATTGCTTAATTTAATTCCTGTGTAGGATTGGAAAATTAGAGAAAGGGAAAAAATGCAACCCAGCATTGCAGTCAAATTAGAGTATTTATCTTCAGTTTTGCAGTTTCTTGCATTTCTAAGAATGTGTCAAGTTCATTTCCTTAGTTCTTATATTAAAGCATCAATGTACTGTAATTAAATAGCATTTCAGTTATATGAATAGGTTCTTTGTATTTCCTTGAGAAATTGCATCACGTGGAATTAATTATGTTTGCGTGGTTTTGCTTTTAATCTAGAATAAATGTTGATGAAAATCTGAGGGGAATTCTCAGGGGAGTCTGGTACCTGAAAAAGAGGCTCTTACTGTTTCTTTGATAACACTTGTTCAGGATCTTATGTGTCTCTATTATGTTGATCTAAAGCAATGAGGATAAACAATTGCTAACTGATGACTTTGTAGTGGTGTGTGGTGTGTTGTTTATAAAACAAGCAAATAAAAATATATCTCAATTTTATTTCACTGTGTTGTGTTTTCTATGGTAATGAAATGTCTTCAGCTTGTTGCCACTTGATTTGCAGCTTATTCTATCATTTGTGGTGGCATATGATTCTGTAAGATATTGAAGTTGAGAGAAACATTTTGGACTGTCAAGTCTACACATTTTTTTATAGTATGTGTTTAATAATTGATTTTTTAATGATTTTGTTTTGTGCTTTAAAACTGAAGTTTTTCTGGTCTGCTAAAAAAAAAGTCAAGCATTGTATTTTTTATCATAATCACTATGAAATGATCATGTTTTAAATAGTTCAAATATATACACCTTATGTGTATATCTGAAAATGGTTTTGTGTTTTCTTGCAGCTAACAGAAGATGAAATTGCAACTATTCTGAAATCTACTCTTAAAGGACTTGAATATTTGCACTTTATGAGAAAAATACATAGAGATATAAAAGCTGGAAACATCCTTCTTAACACCGAGGGACATGCAAAATTAGCTGATTTTGGTGTGGCTGGCCAGTTAACAGTAAGTACTTGTACAAAGATATTTTAAAAATGCTTTAGTGCTTCTAACCATGTTCTTTTACCTTTGTCTTCCGCCTTGAATTTTGTGTCTGAGAAGTGACTAGTGGTAGTGGCAGACCTAACATTCTTTATCATGATGAATATTTAGTGTATTGCAGGGCTATAGTTGCTTTTGTAACCCAGTGTACGTCAAGTGCCTGATGATCTCACTTTAAATTTTAGTTTGAGGTTTATGATTATTACCACCTATCTGGCGTCTGTAGAATGATGGGCTGAATCTGTTTGGTCTTAATTGGAAGTCACTACCATTTGACCTTTAGGTGGCTAATTTAACTTTTAAATATAGAATTGAAATCAAAATAATCTGAAAATAAGCATCTCTGTTTTAATTGCATAAATAATATAATTACAGGATACCATGGCAAAACGTAATACTGTTATAGGAACTCCATTTTGGATGGCTCCTGAAGTAATACAAGAGATTGGCTATAACTGTGTGGCAGACATCTGGTCCCTTGGTATCACTTCAATAGAAATGGCTGAAGGAAAGCCTCCATATGCTGATATTCACCCAATGAGGGTAAGTGTGTGTGGTGGTGGTTTTTATTTGTTGTATTTTAAAAAAACCCTGCAAACGCACAAAACATTCAAAAAAACCGAATAGTGGAACCATAAAACTGTATGCTTATGAATGGACATTTTAAGACTGACAGTTTTTACTTTCTGTGTTGCTTCCTATTTACTCACTTGCCTGTGTTTTAACATGTTTCTGTAAGGTTTCAGAATGCCTTTATCTCTACTTGAGAGGGAGTTAAAGCAGTAAGCATTTAATTGGCTTGAAGGCAAAATATAGAGCCTTGTGCATACTGTACCTGCACTTGGAGAGTTCCATCACGAAGAGTCCATTCTCCTTTGAAAGGCAGTGTTGAAGTAAAGGTGACCTAAAGAAGGTTTCAGAATTGTCCTATGTGAGCAGTGCTAATATTAGTAACACCTGACAACTTTTATTTATTAGTGGCTCTTAAAGTCTCTTACTGAATTAGTTTACTTTTTGTAAAATAAAATGTAAATAGAATTAATCACTTCACTTGGAGAAGTTCATGGGAGTCAATGTTTATCTAGGAATAACTTGCCACTGTTAGTCATGCTTTTATTATTTTTGTAATGAGCTATAGAATAGCTATGATGATTGCACTGAGCATCAATAAACACTCCGTTCTTAAATTTTTTACATCTAAAGGCCATTTGATATTAATAAGGCACTTTATATTGCCTAAAGCATATATTTTTTCAAAAAACTCTTTGTAATTGGCTGCAAAAATGGCATGCATACTATATTTTTTTTATTGAGTTTCCTTTTGCCTCATATAGCAGGATCTTAATATAAGGAAACCACCATTATCAAAAGAAAAGGTACTGTTCATACGTGATTACGTTAGGGTGTTGCTTATGTGAGTTGAAGTGTATTTAGTGCTGTTGGGTTCTTGATTTTTGTTTGTGGGTTCTTGGCTTTTGGTTGTGTGTGCTTTTGGAGCAGGGATGTTTCCTGAAATTTCATGGCAATGTGCAGCTCTGTTAAAACTAGCGAGTGTTTTGCAATTTAGAAACATAACATAATTTTGTAAGCAAATTTTAGTAGTTTTCCTGCACCATATTTTTTTCTGTGTAATTAACTGTTTTTAAATTACAATTCAAACTGAAAATACTTGGATGAAATCTGTGAAGAAAATAAGTATCTCTGAAGCTTGTTTTTGATGGGAATTTAAGATGAAATAACATCTAAATAATATTTTGAAGAATGATTGATGAAAAATTAAATTTATCATCAAGTGGCTGTGATTTTTGGTTATACTTCTAATGAAAATGTCTTAATCACATCTCAGTAACATCACTGTATGTAGTTGCACTAACTGTTGAAAGGTGAGGACTGCATTATCAGTGAGGATTTTTATGTGCATGACAATAGCTGCTTATAAATCAAAGGTCACTGAGTTTGAATGCTTGTGGATCTGTTCAGTTCTTGCAATCAAGTGAATGCTATCAAAGGCCAAAGCAATTTAACACGACAATTCTGGATTACATAGAACATGCGTTTTTGTTAATAAATTACGTTACGGTTTTTAAGGGCTTGTATGCAGTTAGTGCTCTTTTGTATATTTGATACCTACAGTTTTTCTTAATTTTTATTAGTGAGTTGTTACAGTGGTTAACAAGAAATACACAGATTTAAGTTGCAATAGGTTTCCTGGTGTCATATGATACAACTTCACAGGACTTTTGGACATATGTAGATGCTTTCCTACTTTGTTTTAGTTATGACATAGAATTGATACAGGCAAGCATGAAAGCTTGGGCAAATTTTCATTGCTTTTTCTAGATGTTGCTTGAGTTCTGTGGTATTTATGTAAGGCACAATTTTGTTGCCTGGGAATGCACAGTGAAATTGCCGTGTGCACTATTTTGCTATAGGCTGGTTGGCACTACCACAAAGGTAATGCATTGCCAGTAGGCCATTTCCTTGTCAACTGCATTTACAGCTTAATAGAAATATTACATGACTTCTTTAAACAAGTGTTTTGGCAGAGAGGAAATAGCAGATTCCATGCAAACAAGCATAGCTTCCTCTGCTTAACCACACTCTAACTACTCCAAAGAATTGTACTCTTTTCAGCTGGGAAAGAAGAAGCGGGGGGTGCAAAATGGAATTTTGGGGGTGGGGGGAAGAAAAAGCAGGTTTTTTTCTGTTTAGGTGTTACTGTAGTAGTATATTTGACTGCATAAGTGTCATCAATGCTATTTCACTTGTTTCTTCTGCAAACCTGAGTTCAGCAGGACTTGTAGTTATCATACTTGGTTTGAGACTCAAAGGTCAAGACCACTTGCCAGCTCAGTAGTTCTAATGCTTTATTCATCTAAGAATTATGAAATGCCTCACAGATTCTATGAGTCTGTTTCTGCTTTTGCTAATGATGAAAAGTGAAACTTCTTTATTTTCTACTTTTGGGGTTTTTTTCCAAAGAAGGAGTGTTTTCAAGTAGTTTTAAAGGAGGGAAAAATACAGATGTCCTTAAGGTTACCCTAAAACATGGTGATACAGCCACTAGAAATAGCAAAGAATTTGCTGATAAGTCAAAAAATCACTCAAACCTAGATAATTTAACCCATTTAACAGGGCTAAAAGCATGTTGATTGCAGTAAACTGTGCAGCAACCAGGGTTAATGTGTCTGACAGTGTTTGCATCTGCCTTTGATTGCTCTGGTGGGATGAGCACTTAGGAATTTATAGTGGAGCTAATTAAAGGGGACTTCAGTGTGGTTCTAGAGCAAGACAGTCTCCTACTCTGAAGCTGCAGTGATGTTTTAACAGCTATGCTCCTGTGTTCCCCATTGACTGCAGCATGTATGCTGTCCTGTAGTGATAAAGTATTTGTTTTAACAGTGTCAAAATTTAATTCAAACCATTAAATGTTTTGTTCAGTCACTCCTCATCATGTGCTATCTGTCCTTTTTAATTTCTAAATTCCTTTTTTTTAGTCTGTAGCGAAAGCATAGAGACTGGCACTGTTTTGCTGTAGTAGTTGTGATGTTGCTTTTTTGCTGAAAATTGCTAACATCCTTTTGAAATATTCTCAGTCTTTGCTAATCAAGCCATGATCTCAAAATGTCACATAAGATTGTTCCTGGTGGAAGATAGTTTAAGCTGCAGAGGTTTTATTTGATCCATCTACTGCTGATATTTGGCTTTATTAACAAGTAGCTTAATAACACTGCTATAAAGCTAATCCTAAACCTTAAAAATGGCTGTTTTTTGAGGTCCTTTCTATAGACCACCCTTACCTTCTTACCCAAATTTTTCCTTATGTTCATGCAATGACATGATTAGTTATTCCTTTGATGCTGAGGATCAAGTGTGGTCTGCTGGTGTTAGAGACAGCCTGTCCTTAGCCAGGAGTTCCTGAGCTTTCTGTTAAGCAAGCACTAATGTTTTTGTGGTCTCACATGGAGTTGGCTAAAGGAATTTATGTTCTGAAAAGTTAACCTGGTAGAGACCTACTAGAACTGAGCCAGTGAAGTTGTAGGAGCCTGTAGGTGGACAGGAAAAATGAGTTGAGTGGAGTTACTGCTTTTGAGACCTTTAGACCAACTATAGTACTGCAATGTGTGTTTTATAAATTTGCTCTTCTTTGCAAGATCAACAGTTAATGACAGGTTGGTGTGCTTCAAATAAATGCTGGTAGCTCGCTTAAAAAGGAGAAGAGAAAAAAGCCAAAAAAACCCCAAACTCTTTTCTTTCATGCTTATCAAGCATCTGCAATAATTCACGTTGTTGTGGTGTGGAAGAAGCTGGTGGTAGATGTGTTTTTCAACACTTCACTGTATTGATTTTTGTTTCTTTATGTTGAAGTTTGTTGGAAATGGACATGTGGGCATCACATGTTCTTAAGTGAATTGGAAAAAGCCAATTTGAACTGCTTCCATTTGCCCTAAGTCCAATCATGATATTTATTTTTCCATGGCACTTACCCAGTTTATCCATGCCTCCTGCTTAGCCCATGTCATTTCCACCCTGGACTAATCTGTTTGTAATAACCTTTTATTCCTGATGTATCTTGTAACAATCTACCATTTCCCAGTTTTTTATTCTCGATATATTGTATTAAAACTGGAGATTGAAGTGAGAATTATTGCTCTGTAAAGCTGTAAGAAAAAAGGAGGTGTCAGTTGGAGCATATCAGTCAGATTGGGACCAGTTTTTCAGCTGTTGAGAAAATGGTTTCTTCCATGCCTTTTGTGCCAGAAGTTGAGGAGAGGAAAAAAGAAAAAACATCTCTGGGGATGTCAGTTGTCTTTCTGTGTAGTCACTCCTGCATTTCTTCTCTTCAACAGGTGGTGTTATCTCATCGGTTTATTATTTTCTCTGAGAATTCACCTATCTTATCTCAGCATTACTGCTTTTAAATTCATGTAGGTTTGTAAAAGTATATTATATGGTTTTCTTATTTTAGTGCCTTTGCTTATCTTTAGAAAAGACTTTGAATTAACTTTTAAAAGTCCTTTGCCTTTTAAGAACTTTCTATGAGATACTTTGTTAATTTATAACTTAAGATCTTGCCTGCTGTATCAAGATAGAGTAGGCTAATATTTAAAGAGTTTAAAATATGGATATTTAATTGTACATTACTGCTCATTGTTTTACTACTCTTCTAAATCTTGTGGAAGAATGACAGTGAGCTACAATGATACCAGGGGCATGTAATGTGTGTTTGCAGTGGGGACCTAAGACACTGATGTGATACAGTTGAGGCAGCTTGGAGAAGCATGTGTTTTGGCTGCAGGTTTTTCAAAGAGCTGTTGGAAGACCTTCGGACCTCTCTAGGCCTTTAAATGGAATTTTTCCATTTGCTTTAAACAGATCTAAATGCAGGCGATGGCTGCAAAGGGGTGGTATTCCTACCTTTTCTGTACATTTTCAACACCCATTTCTGCTGAAACCAGCATTTAGCTGGCCACATGATGAGCTGGATCAGAAAATGAATCCATCTGAAAACTAACCGAGTAACAAGAAGTAGCTTTCACTAA